CTAAATACTTAAAAAAAAAAGAAGGTGGCAAAGGAAGGAAGGGAAGAAGGAAGAAGGGAAGGAGGAGGAGTGCAGAAGGGGAAAGAAAAGGTGGTCTGAAGCCATGGGAAGGGTTATGGAGCGAAGGAAATTCCACGGTGAGAACTTGGAAAACTTAGTGCTTGCAGGGTCGAATTTTTGGCTAACATCAAAGGTTACCCAGCAGACCCTGTGCAAGCCCAATGAAGAGTGCACGTTTCAGCCACTTCGAGCTACCTCCGAGTCCCTGAAAAACAAGCAGGCAGCAGTTAGCAACATGACCTGCATTTCAGAGGTGTCTTCTACAGCAAAGCCCATGGTGGTGTGTTAGCTACCGGGCCTCTAAAGTTGTGATGAAGGGCTGGGGAGATAGTGTGGTGGTCTAAGTGTCTGCCTGGCATGTGTAAGGACCCAGGTTCGATCATGCCTGTAATCCCAGCCCTGGAGGGCTGAGACAGGAGGCTCACTACAAGTCCAAGCTGTGTAGTGAGGCCCTGTACCAAATAAACAAATCAATAGATGATTAGTAAAATAAAATAAAATTGATGACAAGAGCAATCAACTACAAGCAAGTGGCCAGCCAAATAGCTCAGCAGATTAAAATGCCTGCGTAGGCAGACCCAGGGGCTGCGAGTTCAATCCCTAGGCCTGCTATGCTGGCCCCGCCCCTGGGGTTTGTTGAGACATCGATTGAGACTGGGCATTGTGGTGCATGCCTGTAATCCCAGCACTGGGGAGGCTGTAAACTGGAGGATCACTATGAGTCAGCCCGATCAACACAGTGAGTCCCTGTACACCCTGTCCTAAGTACAAAAAACAAAAACAAAAACAAAAAACAAACTCTAAGCAAGTGAAGCTAGAGGGTTCAGCCAGGTTTTCCTTGGTTTCCCTGTCACCATTTACAAATAGCAGCAGGAATATAGCACAAATCCAGCCTGCCCTAGGAATGGGCAGCGAAAAGTGCTGACACCTCAAGGGCAGTGCGCAAAGAAATGTTCATTTTGGGGTAAAACGTAACTGAAAATTGTCTTCAGGGAATATGATATTTGTTGATGTTTACAAGTATTTTAAAGAAAGGCAACAGATGGGCACCCAAGCACAGGTCTTGTGGAAAAGATCTCCATTGAATGCCTCCCCATGGGCAGCCTCTCCCTTTGCATCGGTGTTTTCTCTAATGAAATACAAGGCCGGCCTTCAAATGTTGTCTCCAGCTATGTTTGAGGCAGTTTGAGACCCCTCGGGTAATCCTGAGCAGGCGGTTAGCAGTGGACATGGGGCAGGGTGGCCAGAGCGAGGAAATACTGCAGGATCTTGCCAGTGAGGGAAACCTTACAATAAGTATCTGGGAAGTATCAAAGAGGCTTTCTGAGGGATGTTCCTATTTCTTTTTAAAATGTAATTTGCTATCTAATATATATATATATATATATATATATATACACACACACACACACACACACATATATATATATATATATATATAGGAATTCAATGTTTCTTTTAAAAATCTTGACATAAACATTTCTATTTAATTTTATTTATTGCGCTGGGGATCAAACCCAAGGGCTAGCACATGCCAGGCAAAGCTTTATATTTCTTCTATTGTTAAAGAAATTTCTTTCTTCATTTTGGAGACAAGGTCTTGTTGTGTAGTTCAGGCTGGCCTTGAACTTACTATGTAGCCCAGGCTGGCTTCAAATTCATGGCAATCCTCCTGCCTCAGCCTCCTGAGGACTGGGATCACAAGTCTGAGCCATAACACTTGGCTAAGTTTTTTCTTTTCTTTTATCCTGAAGGTGACTCTAAGGCAATGCTCCCATTTCTGTGTGTAGAGCAGACGTATGCCCGGTGCACACATACAGACAGATCAGACCCTCCAGAAGAACCAGGGCAAGGCTGGATGTGACTGGCCACAGGGGTCTCAGAAGTCTTTTCTATCTGAGCCCTGAACTGAGCAAGCACAACATGTTTATTGAGAAGCTTAGAAAAATACCAATCATGGACAAAGGGCAAGGTACAAGAAGCCCTCTAAATTGCGAGATCCTGATCAGTCGCATATTGCAGTTATCCTAAGACTTTAAAGTATACAATGCCACTTGAAGACATACTTATAAGTGAAATAAACCAGACCCACATCTGTAAATATCGTATTGTCTCCCTAGTAGAAGAACTTAAAAGAGGAATTACATATAGAAAGTTACAACACAAATAAAAGGAAAGTGAGAACTTGAGGATTGGACAATGAGAAGTGGGCAAGGAAAAAAGGTGGGAAACAGGACAGGGGCAAAGCCATGCATTTGTACACATGAGATGGGTGGGGCAGCGATCCTGGGGGACATCAGCAGGTTTTTGAGACCAGCGGTTGGCTGGTGGGATTCTCACCCTGACTAACTGTATATGCTGGTGCTCATGAGCCAGGCGGCTGCACTGAGGATGGCGATGTGTAATAGAGGGGTCACGCTTGGAGTGCCTGCCATCCTGGTCTTCTAAATATGTACTTCTTGTCATGACATACCATTTATTGCCATAATGTCTCTCAAGTAAAGGCTTTTTTTTTAAAAAG